AAATGAAAGGTACGGTGATTGGCTACACAGCTGTGGCCTCAGCACAAAGCTCGGAGCTGATTGGCCGATTTTACAGTCAGTCAAAGCCAGGATGAGGAAAACCAGAAGTTGGTCACTTCTCATATTTTATTGGCCCTGGACCGTCGAAACTTGAACCCTGTTGGTCAAATGAGGTGTCAATCGAAAGCGGAGGGCCTAGACGTCCATTTTGATGCATTGAACACGGACACAGGTTGAAGAGAAACACAGAACAGCCTTTCAAAATAAAACGAAACAAAAACGGCACGCAGGCGTTCTGCTGAATGTTAAGAGAATGCTCTGGTCTTTGTTTATCGAAACTTTATTTTTTAACTTTGACTCTTCTTCATCTCTCTGATAATGACTCAAAATGATCTAAAGAAACATCAGATTCTTCTCTACTGTCTGTTGTTAGTTATTGTAGCAACGCTCTGTTTACATGCAGACATTCCACTGACATCACTTCCTGTTTCTTCACATCTCAACAACTGTTCATCTCAGCAGCATAAAATTAGGTTTGCAACATGTTATCAGTGTTATCTTTCCATAAATGAATTCATATTTATTACAGACGTCTGATGTCACAGGCCCTTTAATACAGCAGAGCTGAACTGTGTTCTTCTGACACGTCTCACAGATGGATGCAGATCCATGTTTCTTTCTTCAGTCATCAGAAAACACAACAAAAAGCTCTGTGCAGGACAAGGACACTTACCTGATCTGTATCTGTATGTCTCTGTCTCCCCCCAGGACCCTGTGTCCTCTCAGGAGGTGTCCTCAGCTCAGCATTACTTCAGCACCTCTGGAGTGGAGTGTGCCGTACAGTCCTGCCCACAGATATTAAAGAAAGGTACGCCCCTGTTTTAATGGCTTTGAATAAATAACAAGTGGTTTGATAACAATCTCCTCTGTCTTACAGAATAATGTAACAGAACAGAAACTTAGATGGTCTTGTTGATAAAATTACAACTTTAATGCAAACCTCTCTTGATGAAATTGCTCCTCTAAAAAAGAAAGTTATCGATCGGAGGAAGCCAACTCCTTGGTTTAATTCAGAGTTACGTTCTTTAAAACAGGCATCTAGAAAACTACAGAGAAAATGGCGCTCCACTAACAGAAGAATCTTATTTAACCTGGAGAGACAGCCTGCTAACATATAAGAAAGCCCTTCGTAAAGCTAGAACTGTATATTATTCATCTTTAATAGAAGAAAATAAAAACAATCCCAGGTTTCTGTTCAGTTCTGTAGCTAGACTAATGAAACGCCCTCTCTGTTGAGCCATGTATCCCTGTAACTTTAAGTAGTGATGACTTCATGAGATTCTTTATAGATAAAATTAGTTTAACTAGACATGGGTTTTTACGATGTAAAAACAAGTGTGCATTGCCATGTAGCATGTCATTGCAGCATGGCTTTGCCTGCAGCAATGGACTTGCAGTAGGATCTTTGACCAAGTTCAAATGTGTTTGCTATACCAGGTTGTACCTCTCACATCAGCAGGTGTTTGTAATTAAGGTAATTGTGTGACAATATGAAGTTTGAAGAGATAGATTTTTTGTTAAAGTTGCGTTAGCTGGGTTTTGAACCCTGATGTCCCACATGAAAGTCCATGACATAGACCATTAGACTGTTGGAGCTGTGGCAGGGTGTGGTGGCAGGGGTTGGTTTGTATGCAGAAAGAGGCCACATTGCCAATACAATTATTGTCACTAAACTGCATAATATTACAACAATAGAGCAGTATTAAGACAATGATATAGTAAAACATCAAAATACAATCATATTATTATTGTAATCACTGAACTACTGAGTTTAAATATTATAAAACTATGGTGCAGTAC